TTGTAGCTAGTGATGTAAGAACACCTCTTGTAGCTAGAGACTCTACAAGGCATCTCCTCAGCAGGAAATGGCGTGTTTTTCACCAGTTTCCCACCATGTATGATGGACCTTCTTTCATATGCAGGACTTGAAAAATGCACTCGTCCACTCGTCTGTGACGAGTGAAAAATGCTGCTTGATAAGTCACAGCTTCCTCCCTCCCTCCCTCCTTCTCTCTCTCTCTCTCTCTCTCTCTCTCATCCTGCAGTGCTACCCTCCCCCCATCGCAAAAGGAAAACTGCCCTCTTCTCATGAGAAGAGAGTTCAAGCGGTATATAGAGATATAGCTCTGCCGAAAGAGTAGTCCCATGCTGGAGAATATGGAGATTCCCTGCTCCCAATTTCAACCAAACGAGGACACACCCTGGGGTGGGAGGGAACCATGGCTCCTTAAGAGGCTGGGCACTTTTGCTTTCAGTTTTATTTTTGCTGGAGACATTCAAAAGAATGGCATTCAAAATACAAGCTTCATGACCCCACAGTCACGCAGGCAATAAAGCAACCCGAAATCAGTGATTCCCAGTCCCAATAAATTGCAAAGCTACAGTCCGGTCATACTGACTGGTGAAATTTTTGTCTGACTGGTGAGATATTCTAAAATATTTCACGGCCAGGTGATATGTTATGAAATGAAGCAGGGAGTATATACTATTGCTTAAGAAAAGATGCTGATAGCTTCTTACAGTGTTAGTTTTTATGCCCTAGATATGTAAAGTTTTTGTTTTGTTTTGTGTATTTTTTCAAATGGGGTCACTTTATTTATTGCTGTTGATGTTTTTGTTTTGACTTATATGTTGTTGTTTAGTCGTTTAGTCGTGTCCAACTCTTTGTGACCCCATGGACCAGAGCATGCCACGCCCTCCTGTCTTCCACTGCCTCCCGGAGTTGGGTCAAATTCATGTTAGTCACTTTGATGACTTATATACTGCCCCATAAATGTATAGAGCACTCTCTGGGCAGTTTATTATATAATTATGCACAGAATACTTTGTCTCCCAGTGATCTGGGTACTTATCTTCCTGCCCTCAGAAGAATGGAAGTCTGAGTCAGCCTCGAGCTGGCTACCTGAACCTGTCAGGATCAAACTCAGACTGTGAGCAGAAGCTTGACTGAAGTACCTACTGCAGTTTAACCACTACATCACGGGGCTTGCTATTTAAAAACAGAATTACTGGATTTTGAATGCTCATTGCATGACACTGTTTTTCCAATCAAAACTCTTTATCTTCAGGCTATTTGTCTAACCAGGGAAATCATCTATGTTTGTGTAGTTTTTTGATTGTGAAGTAGGTAGAAACGTCAGGTGAAGATGATTGGTCTATTTCCAGTCTGTGCCTGCCCTACCCAATTGTTTGGTCAGAATTTCATTCTGTGCAATTATTTTAAAATGAAAACTAATTTATAATTTTCCCCCATAAAATATTCCTCGGCCATAAGATGAACCTTTGGGGATGCAAGCTTCTCATAAAATGCATATTTCTGCATGAATGTTCCCCAATGTATGGGTTGTTGTTTTTTAATATTCATTGGATGAGCTGAGAGTTTGCCTTACAAAATTGAGAGAGAGAGAGAGAATGAGAGATGATCTGAAGCATAACTATGTTCCAACTTCCATATTAGTCAGGGAAGACAGAATTGAGACATGTTGTTTAAATATGCTGAACAAACAAAATTGTTCTATATCTCTAACTTGAATGTGTGCATGTTGTTGGGTAAATGGTGGTTATTCACATTAGGAGATGCAGAGAATCAGTAGAAGTTTCCATGCAGGAATAAAAAGCAAGTCATTATAAAGCAAGAATGTAGATTGGCATCCAAAACCAAGATTGACAAATGTTCATATCTCTCTTTACATCATATGAACTTTGTTGGTCTTTAACAAAGCCATAATATTTTTCATTAATATACATCTTTTTGTCATTTTTTTAATTTCTAGATCCAGTTTAAGGGAGTAGGTATGGTTCATTCTGGATAGCTGGTTAGCTCAGCCATTTAGGTATCTGGCTCCAAAGCCAGAGGTTGGGAGTTTGATTCCCCACCATCCTTCCCTGACAGGGGCTGGACTCAATGATCCATAGAGGTCCCTTCCAGCCCTGCATTTTAAGACTATTCTCTTCTATGGGAGGTATCCATGCCATGTAAAATGGAGGTGCTCAGCTTTCAGTACACTGATCTCTCAATTCTCCATACATCTTTTCATGAGCATGTGTGGAAGTGATTCCCAAACATGAGTCTCTGAGTTGTGTTTATATCTACACCTTAAAGAATCCGAAGCCAGCATGACTAGTAGCCAGGGATTCTGGGAAGTGTGCTCCAGCAGTAACCACTGAATATGGAAAAGGAAGGTGTTTTGAGTGAAGAACCCACTGAATCTGCCTATTGAGTCATTTTGTTTATTTAGAACATTTTGGTCTTGACTTTCTTCCATCTTGTGAGGCAAATATAGGAAACATGCTTCCTTAGATATTATAAAGACGTTCAATGTCCTAGCAATAGCACAGCTTTGTATATCATATGAACCAAAGGAACTTTTGTTCCCTTATCTTCAAATGACAGGCCCTGAATCAATTCAGATACTAATTTATGAACTCATTATCTTATTTCTTATACGGCCTCTTTTACATCAAAGGGACTTGCAAATAGGAGCTGTTATGTTTCTGGAGTAGGTTCCAATAAGACATCAGAAGCCAGTTTCTGTAAGAACAGTTTCTACTGTGTACTTGTTGTACATGTAGTGGACTGTGGGAGCAGTAACATCATTCAGGATTGCCTTTATCGCTTCCATAAATTGTAATACCAAGTAAACATTTTGATTTTTGGGTCATTTTAAGGTACTGATTAGTTGTATACACTGTCATCCAGTATATTTGCAGAATCAAAGGCATTTGTCAAAATCAGAACCTGGGAATGTTACTCATTACACTGTTTGCTTGTTTGCATGTTTATATCTGAGCACTGCACAATTTAAATTCGACTAGTAGCCAGGGATTCTGGGAAGTGTGCTCCAGCAGTAACCACTGAATATGGAAAAGGAAGGTGTTTTGAGTGAAGAACCCACTGAATCTGCCTATTGAGTCATTTTGTTTATTTAGAACATTTTGGTCTTGACTTTCTTCCATCTTGTGAAGCAAATATAGGAAACATGCTTCCTTAGATATTATAAAGACGTTCAATGTCCTAGCAATAGCACAGCTTTGTATATCATATGAACCAAAGGAACTTTTGTTCCCTTATCTTCAAATGACAGGCCCTGAATCAATTCAGATACTAATTTATGAACTCATTTTCTTATTTCTTATACGGCCTCTTTTACATCAAAGGGACTTGCAGATAGGAGCTGTTATGTTTCTGGAGTAGGTTCCAATAAGACATCAGAAGCCAGTTTCTGTAAGAACAGTTTCTACTGTGTACTTGTTGTACATGTAGTGGATTGTGGGAGCAGTAACATCATTCAGGATTGCCTTTATCGCTTCCATAAATTGTAATACCAAGTAAACATTTTGATTTTTGGGTCATTTTAAGGTACTGATTAATTGTATACACTGTCATCCAGTATATTTGCAGAATCAAAGGCATTTGTCAAAATCAGAACCTGGGAATGTTACTCATTACACTGTTTGCTTGTTTGCATGTTTATATCTGAGCACTGCACAATTTAAATTCATGGATGTATATGAAATATAGCTACAAATTATTGTCATTTGTGGTCCCAAAAAGGACCTTTGGGTCATATTGCTCATCAGCAAGTTTACAATACTTGTGGAAATAAAGGATTAGCGAGCTATACGGCTTTGCCCACGGGATGCTGAAGTGTACTCACAAAGCTTTTCCACTTCTTGGGGAGGCTCATTCTGTCTCCTCCACTTTTATATTACAATTCCCAGAATACTCCAGCTAGCATCACTGACTAGGAAACTTTAGCAGTAGAAAAAAGGATAATTTCCAAGCTATGGTCAGACTCTATATAGTCATTTGAGTGAGATTAAAATCCTGTATACACCTACCTAAGAATAAATTCCATTGCATTCATGTGTAGGATTGCACAGTCAGAGTCCCAAAATCCAAACTCAGAGAGAGTGAAGGCTAAATACCATACTATGTAAACATGTGGGGGTCTGCATTCTGGACCAGAGTCATCAGAGGCAGACAAGAAAGGTTTAAAACTCTTATGCAGCAACACACTGGTGCCAAAAAAGTGAGGCTTTCCAGCACGTTACTGTATTCTTTTTAAGACACCAGTAGGCCAAGAACACGACAGATAAACTTACTTGTACATGCACACGCACACACGCATGCACGCACACGTGCGCACACACACACACACCATGCTTGTTCTTATCAGCTAATATTTAGAGATGAATCATGAAGCTGTCAGAGCTGATTTTCACTGCTATTTGTGCCCGCTGTGAAGAAGATGAGACTAAAAGATAAATTGAAATGATGCTTCATTCGATAGCTGTTGTAATCACTTTCTCAAAATAGTTACTGGGATAATGTTTTTCTGCCTAAATCTCACACTTGCTCTTTTCTTGTTCTCTTCCAGAGTAACCTGGGGAAATTCTTCTCTGAACTCCCCCAGGTTCCTCTGCCAAAAGGTGAACAGCGGCAAACAATGGGAGTTAATATTTCCAGTTGCTAAATGGCCACACTTGAGAACAACATGCAGAACTGGCGATATTCCAACAGGATAGGATGTGATCTTCTCTAAGAGAGAAGCCTGCTGTCAGAGGAGACAGTCACATGACATTTTCAAACTAAATAGCTAACTGGATGTATGCCCAGATATAAAACGTAAAAGGTTTTTGGCATTGCGCACAGAAAAATTCTGTCACTGTTCAACCCACTTCCCAAGTAAATATTCTTTCCATCTTTTCTAAATGCGCTCATGAGTATGCATGTATGTTTTTCAAAAATATCTTTAAATAAAAAATAGTCTTTCCCCCTTGTCTTTTCTCTTTCAGGCATCGTATTTCCTTACTTTCCACGGCTGGGTCGCTACAATTTAAATTTCTATGAAGCTCAGCAAGCCTGTCTGGACCAAGACGCTGTTGTAGCTTCATTTGACCAGCTCTATGAAGCATGGAGGTTAGGTCTGGACTGGTGCAATGCTGGTTGGCTCAGCGATGGAACGGTGCAGTACCCAATCACCAAACCAAGAGAGCCTTGTGGTGGGAAGAACATGGTGCCTGGAGTCCGGAGTTACGGCTTCTCAAATAAAGATCACAGCAGATATGATGTCTTCTGTTTTACATCCAGATTTAATGGTATGGAACTGTGGCTCACTTTTCAAAAGAGGTCTGTTGATGCCTTAGGGAGAACACAACAACCCTTGGGAAAGCCTAGCTTGGAATAGTTACTGTTTGAGCTGCAACCATGTTGAGGGTTCTGGCAACTGTAGGCAAAAAAAAAAAAGGAACTCGTCTACCTAGTGATATTTATTATTTATAGGGAAGTTATCATAGCTAGGCACTCTGACAGCTCAGATGAGGCCTGGGCAAGGGGATGGGCAAACCAGAAGCAGATCAACAGCAAGAGGTGTATACAGTAGGAAACCACACACACCCCAATCCACTGGATTCACTTAAGCACTGCCTGAAAATTTTAAATTAAAAAAAAAACACAAAAATACATATTTATACACATTTACATGGTGTAAATGTGTATAACGTTCAAGGGAGCCAAAGGCAATGCTATGCATAACGTTCACTACTTCTGCAGTTTTTGGCATCTGCGGGGGCTTGCAATCCATTCCCCACGGATACCATGATCCTATAGTTAAGATAACTTGCATGTCTAAAGATCATGTTGTGTGGATTATATCCCATCATGTTACTTCTGACAGATGGGGATCCTATCAGGACTTTTGAAGTATGTTCAAGGAGCAGTTTATTATTATCATCTCCCAACGTATTTCCATGACTGCCTGGGGATTCCTGAATCCAAGTCCAGTGCTCTATCCACTACAGTACCCTGAACCTCCAAGCTAGTTTTAGTAAAATAGATTTAACTTAGTGCAGAAAATAGAATGAAAATACTAAACACATGTTAAATGTTCCTGGCGATTGTTGTGTTTAGAATTACCACAGAGCTTCATTCTCCAGTGAAGCTTGAAAGGCAATAGTCAGTTTTGCACAATAGATTTAACTTACTGCAGAAGAAAAATAATAATGAACACAAGTTAAATTTTTCTGTCAGTAGCCTTCTACAGTATTTAAGTCCACCCTCCTGCAGAAAATCAAAAACGTGAAACTGGAAGTGCCCATCTGACAATGGCCAAAATGTTCCATTTTGATATCTGTACAGCCTGCAGAAAGGTTTGAGAGCACAAACATGTTTCTCAGCCTCCCCGTCCCGCCCCCAGGTGTGACCATCCCTGGTTTAGGCAGTTCTTTTGGTCAAACAAAAATAGGAAGAAATATTCGAGATTATCCATTGCTGAATCTTATTTCTGGAACATAAGAATGAGTGCCTGGAATTTAAAACAGAGCTTCAAAACAGTGTACTCAAGGCATAGAACTTTAAAATATAGAACATAAGAAATAGTGAGTTACAGAGTTACATGAATTTAAAACAGAAACTGCATTTCATATCTAATTGAAAAGTTCTCATGATCCAGAAATTAAGAAAAAGTGTTATATGAAAGAGTGCCTTTTGTAGACTTTAATTCCTAGGATGCCCCAGTTGGTATGGCCAGTGGTCATATAGATAGTGAAATTCTGAGTTGTAGTCCAATACTTAAAGTTTCCGTGGTATGTAATGCCAGCAGAACACCATGAGAAGATTTGAGCCCTAACTGCTGGATAGCTCAAGAACTGCTAGATAGATCAGTGGTTCATGTATCTGATTGCAGAGCCAGAAGTTGGAAGTTCAATTCCCCACTCTGCCTCCTTGACAGGGGCTGGCCTTTACTATTTATTCTGCAGTTCTAAGATGATGGTGATAATGATGATATCTTTTACTAGAAATGAAATGCTGAATGGTTAAAACAGTAATGCAGCCAAAACATAGGTTAAGTAAAGCAGATTGGAGAGGTGGAATGGAATCCATCTCTACGAGTATGAATTTCTCTTCTCTACATGAGCTCATTGGATTATGAAGACTACCCCTTCCAAACCCTCCAACCCTTGCCACCTTTCTCAAGTTTCTTTTCACTATGTCTTCTGAAATCATCCATGCTTAAAAGGAAATGTCATGGTGCTTGAACAGGAACTTTGCCCTTAATGAGAATCTTTGGCTCAGAATGCACAGGAAAGTTACAAAAGAAGCCAGTAGAGCGAATGGAAGTTGCCTGCTTGTTAAGTGTTAGTGTGCAGTAATTGCTCAGATACTAAGATATTAACTGAATGCTCTGATAGAAATCACTGCTATATAAAAGGCAAAAGGCAAGGAGTGTTGCACAACAGGCTTCCTTCTTTCTTTAGGAACAATCTGGATTGTCTTCTCAAATGAAAGGACTCAGGTGTGGACCACTCACATGTGGCTTAACTTGTGTGCATGTTGAACAGCAGATGTTTGGCTTGTAGCCCACATGCTAAGAGATGCTTCCATTCTCTGCTTACACACACATTGGGTATTATTCACAATGAAATACATTTGCCTTAAAACATGCAAAGTGTAAACATTTCTTTTGCTTTGGACCATCCCGGGTTTGCCTTTCCAAAACAGAGAGACTTGAAAACATTGTGCAAATGTTTACCTGGTCCATATCCAGCTCAATTGTTCCATGAGAAGTTGGGCTGGTTATAGTTGTGCAACTAGACCCTATGCCATGTAAGCATTTTTATGTAATTCGTGGAAAGAGAATAAAATCCATGGGATTTTTTTTAATGACTAGTCATTTTTCAAGCAGAGATTGAAAAAGTTATGTTTTAAAATAACATTTTCCAGAATTTTCCAGTCAGCATGCTTATTCTTAATCTTTAATCATATCATTATGGAGACAGATTTACAGTTTATAGTCCAGACTATCAAAAGACAAATATAACAGCACACAAAGTAGAGATCACAGGCAAAAAGAATATAAAGAGACAGTGTTATTTGCACCTGGCAACAGTACAATAATTAATGGTTTTTAAAAGCTGGAATTTTAGCTTTGTAACTGTACAGAAAATATTCTTTTAATACATTTAAATGAAATGTATTTTAATTGTATCTTATTAATCTTTTCATGCCATCTGTGTTTCTTTTTTCTTTGCTTTTCCTTAGGTCGTTTTTACTACCTGATACATCCTGTCAAGCTGACCTACGATGAAGCTGTGGAAGCCTGCCTCAAAGATGGTGCACAGATTGCCAAAGTAGGCCAAATGTTTGCAGCCTGGAAACTCCTAGGATATGACCGCTGTGATGCCGGCTGGCTGGCTGATGGCAGCGTCCGGTATCCCATCTCCAGGCCAAGGAAACGCTGCAGTCCCACTGAAGCAGCAGTACGTTTTGTGGGCTTTCCAGATAAAAAGCACAAGCTCTACGGTGTCTACTGCTTCAGGTCATACCAGTGAATGTAACTCTAGAGCACAAGAGTATCTGATCCATCAAGAACATGTGAAGGGTTTTGTTCCAGTCTGAACTCATGCAATTTACCAAAACTGTGATAAATCTTTTTTACTTACTGTAAAGAGTCATTTTCATAAAAAAACAACCCTTTAATTTGTTTTGGTTAATTTTTTTAAAAAAAACAACACCATTCAACAGATATTTTAAATTAATATAATTTAAAGGAACCTCTAGGTAAGGAAGTGCTTGAAGTGTAACTTTTTAAGCTACATCATTCTGACAAAATATTTTTCTTCATGAATGGGGCATGCAATAGCTTGATGATTGCTAAGACTAACTTAAGAATGTAAAGCTACTCAAAGCAAAAACCTTGTTTCCAAGGATAATAGTTTACATACTTGCATCTTGTTAAAATGGACCAGAGAATAATGGCTGAGATCTCCAGATCTGAGCTATATTGATTTTTTTAAAACTGCCAATTCCTTGTCATTTTGTAAGCAGTTAAAAACAAAGTTATGAAGGCAGTTTAAAACAACAGTGTGTTATAGTTTACAACATGAGAATCATTTCACTATTTAAAATCATGCCTTTCAGCAAAACCTGCTCAGTAATCTCATAACATTCCAACAAGCATCATCAAATCTTCCAAGTATCATTCCTGGTTTTATTGTGTATGCAGTAGGATGTGTGTATGAATTATTAAAGCGTGGACCCTACTTTCTTTGAGTTCTTTAATTCAAACTAACTATGCCTGAAATGTATTGCATTACTTTGAGTAGCTTTATGGAGGTGTTTTGAGTCTTGTTTTTTTTAATAATTCCTAAAGGCCATTTTGCTAAGCAGCATTTAGCATCTACTCAGGGCAGTTATATATAGAGGAACTGCTGGACAGAAACACACAAATGTATTAAGTATAGCAGCTTGATTTCATGATAGCTTTTAAAATACTATTGTCTTTATAAATGAAACATTTAAATATTTAATATTTCTTTCTTAGTTATTCATGTGAGAGATAAATGTCTGATGAATCTTGAAACATATTATCTACTCTGTGATTAAAAGTGACCCTATTTAGGAAAGGGTGAAATATCGCTGTATTCACTGCCCCTAATCCAGTGATCCAGATACACTCCCATTTTCACTCACTCTTCATTTCCCATTCATTTTAATGGAGACAGCATCTCCATGCATACATCCCTTTGTGCCTATAGATTTTCCTCTCTCCTCTAATGAATGAGGAAGCTCTTGTAAACAAAGGAGCTCTTTGCATATACTAGTTCCATGCCCAAAAGCATTCTCCACATCTGGAAGAGGATGATCAGCAGCACCAACTATCTTGACTCTTTGACTGTTGGAATTCTGGAATATTTTCCCCAAGTTGTGAGCTGTAATATACAACAATTCAGAGTCCTGCACAGTAAAAAAAATACCTTTTATATGATATTCTGGATGGTAAATAAAAAGAGTAATATATGGTGACATAATGAACAGAGCTACTTTGATATCTCAAAAATAGTTCTGAGTAAGTCTTGTTTAAATTAATTGAAGAAATCAGTCATGAAGAATTTTTTCTCATGCAACATGATTTTCCTCTCTTCTCTCCAGTCTCATGCAACATGATTTTCCTCTCTTCTCCTCTCCAACTTCCCGCTCCTTCCTCAATACTAATAGATTTTGAGATTACACAGCGGGCTATATTACCTCATTCAGTGGGTGGGCTAATCATATGCCACAGTTAATTTATTCCACAATTTTCAGTGGAATTGGCAGTGTAATCCTGTACTACTCAGACGATCTGGATGTCCCACTAAATTTGTTGGGATTGCTTCAGTGAGACTTAATTTCCAGGAAGTATGAATTGCATTGTAGCCTTCATGACTAGCTTTATCTGGATTGGGACCAGTGAATTTTACTTTCAAGAGCTAACAGCAGTTTCATGCTTGTTTATGGAACATGGGTCAATATTTCTTTGTGAGAAAGGCAAATCATAATAATATGTTTATGCTACTTTATACATAACATGATATTTATGAACATAATACAGCCAATTGATATAGCCACATTACATAGAATACTGGTTTTGATCTTGTCTGGTTTCCTAAGAGAACGTTGTAGTAGGTAAACCATGCTGTCATGGAACTGGGAAAGGACTCTTCCCTAATACCTATTATTCTAAGAACTGGCAGATATCTGGGTGAAAAGCCCTAAACATTTTTGCTAGATTTACGAATAAAACAGGAGAAAGAACATTGATAAAGGATATGTGCATGCACATGCTTTGATTTAAAAATCGAGCAAATTAAACATTGATGTGATTGCAGATTTATTTTTGTGTAGTTTTAATCAATGGGCATGGGCTGATGTTCTTTGGCTACCATAGCAAACTTCACATGCAAAGTCCTGAACAAAGTGTGGAATAAAAATGGAGCATTGGCCCATCAGCTGCACCTTGGTGATGTTGTCTGAAAAAGATCAGCCACTTTACAATCCTAAAATGTGATGCGAAAATATCAAATGGATTGCAAAGACTTAGGGTCCCCAGGACTCTATGGAAGAAGATCCTAGAGTAAGTAGGGTGATCGGATGTTTGTTATATCTTTATAACTGGCATTTGTGTATATGCTTGTGATTAGAAGGCTGTTTCTTGTAACTCCCGTTGTTCAAGGAAAAAAGGAAATGGCAAGCGATAACAGCAGAAAAAATGAGCAAAATGGAAGTGTAGAGCAGCCCTCTCAGGCCTGGCATCCTTTAGATAGGTTGGACTACATCATTACCACATTATGACAGACTAAAGACTGATGGAAGAGGAGATGAATGGCTAGGATCCAGAAGTGGCTAGTGCAGCCTGCATAAGAAAGCTCTGGGGATTTCACTCAGTTTTCTCATCTTGCTGCAGATGCCCATCATGTGTCATTGCAAAAAAGTTCTCTTGAGCCTCAATTGGAGCCTCTCTTCAGGAGCCTTAGGTAACTAAGGGGGCAAAGGTGCTATATTGATGGAGGAGCAAAAAAAAAAAAAAAAAGCCTTACAGTATGAGCAGAGTTCCACCTGTCTATCTCTGGCACCAAGCCATCCTCTAAAGAAAAATGTGAGAAAGGCTTCTTTTGATTAAATGAAAATGTATGGACTTCTTGAGTTTTAGTTGAACTCATCTTGAGTGTGGACTAAACTATAAATTACAAATACTGTACCACATACCTCGACTTACAAACTTAATCCGTATTGGAACGGCGTTCGTACATTGAAAAGTTTGTAAGTCAAGGCAAGATTTCCCATAGGTATACACTGAAAACCATTTAATCCATTCAGGCTGTTTTTCGTTCGTATGTCGAGGAGTTCTTCGTAAGTAGAGGTAATAGTTCCCATAGAAACTAATGCAAAGCCGGTTAATCCATACCCTACCACTGGGGGGAGATTTTTTTTTTCTTCTTTTGACCTAAGATGAACTCAGGTCAAAAAAGGGCCTGAAAGGTGTTTTTTTTATTATTCGTATGTTGAAGCAACATTTTGCGAATGGAGCCATTCGTAATTCAAAACATTTGCAACTGGAGACGTTTATAAGTTGAGGTACCACTGTATGCCCTTTATAAGATGGAATTGCTAAAGTGCTAAGAACATCTGATTGACAGCAAGAGCTTTTCACATCTCCCCCACTTTGCCAATTAGCTCATAGGGTTGGGGTTGGGGTTTGCTTGTTTTTGAGATTTGTTATTTGGAAGTAAGCATAGGCTTCATTTGCAAATATGATTAATCATTTGCAAGTATGATATGGTGAGTCACAGAGGTTTGCTTGGATTACATAACTGGAGTAGTAATGGACTTCAGATTACAATGAGGGACTGTCTCTAATTTAATATTTGGTACAAATGAACAATCGTGAGGATTGTAACTTCCCTTTAGTTACAATCTTAAATACATGAGTAGTAATGGACTTCAGATTACAATGAGAGGCTGTCTCTAATTTAATTTAATATTTGGTACAACTGAACAATCCTGAGGATTGCAACTTCCCTTCAATTACAATCTTAAATACACCTAACTCACAGTCATACACATAGAGCACAATGTGACATTGTGCTGAGTAAAAGGGAATATTTCTTTTGCAAAACTGCCTTTTTTGTCAAAACTGTAAGTTAGGAAGTTTGAAACAATAGGCTGCATTCTGAAGCATTTCTCACAAAAACACATACAAAATCCAAACAAAATAATGGCTAGAACCCTGTTGGCATAAGTTATGCTGCACAACTCCAGTGATGTCATCAGCCATGGCCATGCTGTGGCAGTTGGAAAAGCATCCCACCCATCCACCCAATCTCTGAGGATCCCTGGGGAACTCCATCTTAGAGGCCTTTAGGAGCTGTGGAACAGAGTACTGTAGTGTTAAAAGGCCAAAATTCACCACTGCTGGTTCCAGACCTGGTTCTGGCAGTTTTCAAGTTTCAAATAATTTCCATTTCATTATGTGGCTCCTGAAGGCTTACAAGGATGAAGGAGATCCCTAGAGATCATCAGAAGCTTGCAGAGGTGGGTGGGAAGCTTTTAATTCCCCCCAAAAAAACTGCAGCACAATCTCAGCTGATGACATCACAGGAGTTGGATGGCATGACATCAACAGGATTCTGTCCAGAGTATGTTCCCCTGATGTGCTCTGGGACTATTTTTTTCTAGTTTCCCTAAGTTTCCAGAAGGCTTTCTTTCTTTATATTAAAGCAAAGGATTCTTTAATGCCAGTGCAAGCTGTTCTGCCACCAGATACAGGAAAAGAAGCACCATTTCTGTTCTCTATTCTTTTTCATGGTAATACTTATGAGGAGGATGGCAGAAGGAACAGTGCCACTTTCTTTCCTCTAACCACTGCCGACCCACTTCTCAGTTGGCTATGTGGATAATGCCTGGCTGTCAGTATCCTTGAGGGTCAAAGCATTATGGGAAAAGGTGCCCCCCCCCAAAAAAAATTCATCTGTACTGGCATTTTTAAGACACTCTGTTTCCATAATGGCCTCAAGGATCCCTGGGGACCAGGCATTATTCACATGGCCATCTGGGAAATGGTCATAAGATGGAGGCAGATGTGATGGATAGAAGAAAGGGGCCAGGTTCAGGCAGCAGCAAATGGGAGGTACCACTTCACTGCCTGAGGCAACTGCCTCGATCTGGCTAATGGCTGGCCCAGCCTGAAATTGTCTGATCTGAACTAGCAATTCCAACACTGAGATAATGCAGTACTTAGAAAAATACAGTCACAGATTCTCTGAAGTTTGGCTGAAGTGTGCAGGACATATTTTTGAATCAGACAATGTAAATCACAGTGGCAAGTTGGCTTATTTTCCTCTTTGTACACCAAGTGCTTGATAAAGAATACAAGCCTTGCCTTCTTAACTAGCGGCAGTTCACAGCTGAGATTTATGCTGTGTGATTTACACCTGGCTGTGGGATCTTTAACCTCTGGAAGATACTCAGGGCTACTCTGGTGTAAACTTATGTCCACTAAATCAAGGACTTTGAGGGAGACGTTTATGTAAACTAACATAATTCTTCAGATCTAATCTTCCAGTTTTCCAAGGAGAGACCATGGGGCAGTGGAAAATGTAAACACATCAAAATAATTGTGGATTATAATATAGTCCAGTTTATTTGATACTGAATTATTGATTCTAGTGGCTTTCAGCCATCACAGCTGATCCAAGTAACACCACTACTGAGGTTTTTGTGCTATTAAAGTATCACATTATTTAAAACAGCATGTATTATCATTTCTCATAAATATTCTAACCAAAGTAAGGGTAACCTCTGATCCCCTAGAAATTTAATGGCATTGATATATATAAGGTTTCAGAAAATATGTTCTTACCTTGTAAGTAGTTAGTTTGGGAAGTAAAAGTGTGATTACAAAAGAAATGAACACAAAGGAAGTAGAAATTGTATTTATTTTACATGGTTACTAATATGAGTAATAATGCATAGGCCTTACAACATTAGTGTGGCTTGCAAAGAATTCTTCAGTGAGGAAATGGTACTTGGACAATGTCTGAAGGGAATGCTTAAAAGCTGGTTTATGTCAGTGCTACCATTCTTGGAAAGAGAGGAAAAACTATGATGATAAAATGAACTAATGTGCTGTGTCATTTTCCTTGTATTGCACCATGTATTGGAATTTTAATGTCCCTGAATGGCAACAATTAAATCACATTGGTCTTTTAAGAAATGGATCTTCTGTCTTTATGAGCAGACTAGTAGTGTTTTTGTTTGTTTGTTTGACAGTTCATCAATTTTACCTGTGTCACTTGTGTCTCATTAGGAGTTATGAAAAAAAGGTAAAGATCAAACTCTAATTCACTTCTTCTTCTTCTACAGAACCTAGAATAGTGTGGCCCGAATCAAAATGGTACATGAGACAGGTTAGATCCCATGCCTTAGGCCCTCTATATTATTCTATTCTTTATGCTTGGAACAAGACATAAGTATTAAGGTATTCAGAATAGCACTTAACATTTTCAGTGTTCCTCTCAAATGCAGATTTTCCATTTCCTCTTTATTTCACCTCGCCTTGCCTACTATTGTTACCGCTCTTAGGCCAAAGTATAGGATA